TTTTATAAAAGTACTTGTCGGCGTAATAGGACCTAAGCTCTGAAATATCATCCCTGAGAAATTTCTCATGAAACAGAAAAACTAATTTTTGTTTGGTCAAAATAGCAAAATGTTTTAATACTATGAACATTTCTGTTTTATTTCTGAGGCTATACAATGGGTAGAGTACCATTTCAGTGATCCCACCTACATTCTGTCTAAGGACCCGTGACTGATAATGCCTAGTTGTTTCAACATAGATGTTTACAGGTAACGGTGGAATAACAGAGAAAGAATAAAGCAGCAATACTCAACAGTAAACCAAAACAAGATGCTTTACATAGCAGGAATGACTTTATCCACAGCTGACTGCTGTCTTTAGCCTCTGAGCAAAAGGAAGCTCTAGTATAGGCCTGTACCATTTACAAGCTTCACGATTTGCTGCCAATCTGTAGAAACCAAAGTAAACTTCTGGCAGGACTCCTACATACCATAGTAGTTAAAGAAACTATTGTCCCACCCTGATTTTGACTACAAGCCTTGAAAGATTAGTCTAATGTTTCTTTCTACCCTCCTATTCTCCTTATCTAATAGAAGATCTAATGTAAAACTTCAGAAATATAATTCTGGAAAGTGCGACTCTGGTTATCTTCAGTTGCTTCACAAACCCCCAGTTAATTTTTTCTCATTCCTTTTTCCTCACCAATATGCCTCGGCAACAGAAAGCCTTCACTAATAATTAAAAGTGAAAAGCTAGCAAACAGACCCGGTACCCTGATGTTTCACAGCTGCTTGCAGAGCTGCCCAGAGACACCTGCTTATTTTTACAGCAATTCTTTTTACTCTTTATCATTCCATCCCTTAATGTTGGGTTATAAAATGAGGCAGAATAAACTAGATCATTTCATGAAACGATGGTGCATTTGTACATCCCACCTTTACCGGAAGACACAAATCACCATTACACAATGTTGTCCAGTTGCTGTAGCAGGAAGCAGGAATCAACCAAATTGACCTTGCATATTACGAAGTCTTTGCAAAGTATGGCTTTCACAATGTTCCGTGGTTGTGGTTACCTCAACTTCCAGGCACAACTTGAGTATGTAGTGCCAAATGGCCACGTATGCTGGATAATCAGAATTCCTGCCCCAATTTCTGAAGATATTTTAGACACATAAAAATATAGACAGTCTGCTAGTAGTGCTTTTCAGTACCTATGTAGTTGTTTAATTCTTGTTGAGTCCAGTGGGAACTAGGAAGGGCGACAGACCCAAAAGTTGAAGGTTCTTAGGTGCTGCTTACCAGGCTCAGTGTATCTGCTAATTGGAAATACTGAGCCTCTAAGCAGAGGTTAGGCTGCCAAGTAATCTTACACTGAAAGTATGCTTCATGTATCCTGTGTCCAAAAGCTGACTCTACATTGACGCTGTACCTCCTGATAACACTGACAGAGCTCAGTACAGTGCAGCATCTGCCCTCCCACTACCACATCTCACTGCAGGACCTTAGGGGTTGGGCAGTGAGAGTATTCACCAGGGAGGTAGGGTATGAAAACTCAAATCCCCCAGCCCTAGGAGAGAAATGAATTGGTCCAGTTTTATATCCCATATAAAACTCTAACTAGGAACAAAACAGAAAGCAGCCTCCCTTTTCTGGACATGCTTTGTAAGAAAGTGATGACTTCAGTACCCAGCCAAAGAAAAAGATTCATCTGTGATTCACAGCTGGAGGTACGTGGCTCCATGCAGCACCAAAGAGGGTGAATCCCTGAAAGTGCACCTAAACTGGGGGGCCTCCAAGTGTACCCTTGCCATGGCCCAACTCCAAAGACAGGAGCATCTTCACGCAGATGAGCCAGGATGTGTCCCTGAAGTGTGTGTGGAGAAAGGGATGTGTTGTGATTCAAACCAGCAGCTCAGCTGAGGAGTATTCGCAGAAGGCCAGGCTGACTGTCATATCTTTTCTCAAAACTCCTTGGAGGCCACTGCTGGCAACTGCCTGCCCATTATACTCAGTTTTGTGGTCAACAGTCATAGGCACTTGGCACATTGTCATACAGTCACCTCAGTTCACTGAAACTGGCACTGCCAGTGAGAGGTTCAGGCCATGCTTTGTTTTCCCCACTTGTCCCTGTCTTGCTCTCCTCTGACCTCAGGCTGAGCCGAATGAGGTACCTGCCTGACCTGGCTGAAAATACAATTTGTTGTTGCTGTTGTTGGCAGCGCAGTTTTCAGTGTGATTCACTCTGGAGAGCTGCACAAAGGCTGGGCAAAGGAGGAAAGAGCAAACATGAGGTAAGGTGTCGGTCTCTTCTCCCAAGGAACAAGCAATAGGACAAGAGGAAATGGCCTCAAGTTGTGCCGGGGCAGTTTAGATTGGATAGAAAAATTTCTTCACCAAAAGGGTTGTCAAGCATTGGAGCAGGTTGCCCAGGAAAGTGGTTGAGTCACCATCCCTGGAGGTATTTAAAAGATGTGTAGATGTGGTGCTTAGGGACATGGTTTAGTGGTGGACTTGGCAGTGCTAGGTTAACAGTTGGACTTGATGATCTTAAAGGTCTTTTCCAACCTAAATGATTCTATGATTCTAAGGAGGGGGGGTGACCACACTTTTGTAGTGATCATGCAGCCGCAGTTTTGTTCTTCCAACACTTTGTATGGGGCTATAATATAGACACCTAGTTCAAAGCCAGGGCTGATGCTGAAGTGGTCAGTCATACAAATTAGTTGTTGCAGCATGCTGAGTGGCAATGCCTACATACTCTGGGCTGCAAACAATTTATGTTCCTATGTTCCTATTCCATTTTCAGGTAACTAGCATGTTTATAAAACTTGCTTGTAGCCCTGAGACCTCTCATAAGCTAAGCCAAAGATTTCTCTTATTAGCCACCAAAAATTTATAGCACATTTACTGGTTCTGACCTTTCCACACCAGTGACAGAACACCTTTAAAACTGAGGTAACAATGGCACATGAAATTCCTCAATTGTAAGAAAAATAGAAGGCTTTGGAAAGAGCAAGAATTGATAGACTTTTATTCACTCTTCTGTTTCAGTGAATGTGTCTTGAGGATATCTCCTAACAACTTCAGTTGTTAGCATTTTCCATATGAGCATTTAGCTCTGAAATCCTTGGCTTGTCACTAACTTAACTGAGGCAATGCAGTAACCGGGTCTATCTACTATTTGTTCCGCATCAGTGGGTTTTTTTTGCTTAAACTTAAACTAGCCTGCATGTACAGAATATTCATACGTTTCAAAACAAAGGGTTTTACTGAATTTCTCTTTTTATTCTCTCATGATACTCTTGCTTTAGGAGATTTCTAGTGAAAAAGAGGCAGATACGATTCAGTAAACTGAGCTTCTGTATGAAAACAGGATGAGAAAGATATGCCTAACGGGCAAAAGGGAAAGAAACAGCTCTTGCATGTACTTGTTTCTAGACAAAAATATTTGGCAGCATGTAAACAGCATCAAATAAGAACAATTGAATATTGAATAAGAACATAGGCCAAGACTGCAGTCCCAAATAAATAAACTGTTATTATTATTCAAATTAATAGCAACATAGTATGTTTCTATGTTAAACAGTGTTTCTAGTCATCACAACTAAGATATGTGTGTGTGTGTGTGTGTGTGTGTGCGCGCATTTATTTACATAGCTTCTAAGAGCTAAATCCTTACATATTTCTCATCTCGGCCTACCAGGCAGGATCAGGCTGACGGACCAAACAAGTATTTGGCAGAATTCACCTCAGTTTTCACAGTTATTTCACCCTGTGGCTGAAAGTAGCTATGACAGCTCCTTGAGATTCACTGTAAGACCAGTGGATCTATATGTAACAGGCAGCTATGCGTAATGAGGCCCTGTTCTTCAGCCTGTCCACACATGGTTCCCTGCTGTTATGAAGAAGGTGTTGACCAGGAGAGGATTCTCCCATCAAAGTGTGATCTAAGGTTGCTCCAATTGGTTTCTCCAGTCAAACCAAAGTTAAGTTTTGCTGCTCGCTCCCAGCTCACACCTGCTGCATTCTTCTGGATAAAGTTTGTGGGATTGTAGGGAAGAGACAACACAAGCTCAAAAGCTTTTCGGTTGTGTAAAGGACAAAGTTTCACCTCTTGTAGTCTCTCTTCTGCAGGCAAACAATACTAAATGCTTTCCACAATAACAAAAAAAAACACCCTCAAGAAAACAAAATGCAGAGTCAGCATGTTGACAGCTAGTAGGATTATCCTTCCTCTAATTCATGCAATTCCACAGAAAGGTATTTCTTTCTGCCAAATACCTAGTTAAAAAATGTTACCAACAAAAAACTGCCCTCAAATACCCACGGGGGCAGAAAAGTGTCATGCTTCCTGAGGTGAGGTGTCCCTGCCAGTGCCTCCCCCAGCCTTCACCACAGCACATCTAAAGAGCAGAGTTGGAATGACAAATAGCAGGAAGCTGAGCTCTGAAGGAGAAATACGTCATTCATGGAGATATATCCAACCAGCCATCTGATACAGATGTTATAATCCGGCAGAACTGCCACTTCTGGGTTTACAAGGTTTCTATCAAACCTCCACATGTAAAATGTCCATCACTTTAAAAGATATTATTAGAGAAAAAAAAAAACCTCCATTAACTTGCTATTTCTTCCATACACAAAGTCCATAAAGTTCAAGAGTCAGAAACCAAGCCAGTTGTCACACATAATAACACCCCAATAACTCAATGAGATAATATCTGAGAAAAGTAAGAGTCACTCCTTATATTCTGCATCCCAAAGGGGTTGAAAATGGTTGATTTCACATGCCCAGAACTCTCAAACTAATTTTTATGTGTTTTTGGATGGCTCCAAATGCTTTCAAAGAGTAAGCATCATGCAGTGTGCATGGAAGAGACATAAATATATATTTTACAAAGATTTAAATGCAAATCATGCTGCTTTATGAGGATTCAAGTTTCCTATACTTTCATAGAAGAACTGGTACTTTCTACTTGAACTAGATTGAAAATGCCATGAGTGTCATAATGCCTTACTTGTTCTCGTTGCTGGCATCATATCGAGGCATAGGGTCAAAATCATTTCCATTGACATCAAAACTGGCCTGCGAATCCTGTAGCCAACAGGAGAAAGAAAACCAGTTTCTCATTAATTAGCCGTTGACTCATGTGGCCTATACATTCTTCAGCAGGTTCCTACAAGAGAGTAATTAGATTAACATTCCTGCAGTTTTATGATGATTGCATGTTTTAGGAAAGGATTATATATTTAATAATTACAGGATTTACAAATTTTATTTTATTTTTGGAAAAGGGAGAAGGATAACAAATGCTCTGAAAAAGCATAGTTCCAGTGTCAGAGAGGAAATAGACAGTAGTGTTTCATTAAACAAGAAGACTGCATTTCTTCTAAGAAACTTCAGGAAGTTAAGAGAGTTCATTCTCAAAATTGTGATTTTGCTAAATGTTTCAAGATTCAAGAAATTATCTGCACAATGATGACTGAAATTTCAGTCACCATTTCAAGGAATAAGAATAATACCATTTTCTTAAGAATATTGTTATAAAAATACAGCTTGAAATGCAACATAAACTTCATTCCCATTTCCCTGAGAGTGTAACTGTTTCAAATATTTGCAAGATATCTCCCTATTTTTGTTCCATATTTTACATTTACCAGGATTCTTACAGCTGAAAATAGTTTATAGAGTAAATAGCTGCTGGTTTGCATGGCTCCCATTAATCGATGTGGTAGCATGTGGTGTGTTGACATGGCAAGCAGCTCTTTTTAATCTCTTCTTTGTTCAAAACCAGTTACCACATCCACCTCAAATATTCCTGTTTGCAGCCACACCAGCAATAATCTGACATATAGAAGGCATTTGTCATCAAACAAGCAATGTGTACTGCTTTGGGGGAATTCCTTGTTGGCGTGAGGAAAGGGAGAGAGGAGGTGGTAAGGGAATAAATAGCTGCTTTAAATTCAGTGGAAGGACAGTACCAGGATGAGGTGACATATGATACAATCCGGGTCATTCATTGAGGAGGTAAAAATTATATTTGGTTTGTTTAAATAACTTAAGAGATTAAAATGAAAGATGTGGCATGCATTAGGATCAAGCATACATTGAAAAATAGGGCAATTGTCTGTCACTTGTGTTTGTGCAGTCCTCCTCATGTATTTCAAAGCTGAGTTCCACGTGCAGCATGGGGAAGGATACAGATGTAAGTATGGCTAATTTAAAATAAATGGCTTTAAACTGTGGACACGACTGTAGCTTTTGATGGGTTGTTAGAGATGTTTTGTCACCTTCATCTCTTCAATGCTCTGTCAAGATGATATGCTCACTGGCAAAAAGCCCGCGTTCAGGGCTTTTTTACAAGACCTACGTCTGTAATGGGACTGAAGGTATAGGCATGCCTTGCGCTGGTCATCTTCACCAGTCCGGCTCAGTCCAAATATATCTGTTCGTTTTCTTACCTCGTGTGAATGTATACATTGCACATTGTATTTCAGAGAAATGATAAGGTCCTCAAGGTCATGTGCTTTCATGTAATGCCTACTCCCAAAGCACAGGACTAAACACTCCAGCAAAGCGCGGCCCTGATGCTCTGAACAGTTTCAAACTCTGACACTAACACAAGAAGTCACCCACTAGCGAAGCAGCTTCTCCTCATGTTATGCAATCCTTCCAAGGTATATTAAACCAGTCATTTAAACATGCTGAACCACAAGCAAACAGAAACCTCCGGAGGCGACATGAAACACAGGACACAGAAAACAAAGCTCTATTACAAATTGTGAGGGAACTCACTGGAGTTAAAAGAGATTTACTAGAAAGACCCCAGAATATTCTACACCTGTTTTCAACTGAGTGAATCATAATGTCCTTTTCCTTTAATATTATTTCTAGCAGTAAGATAAATAGCTTTAAAAATAAATACATGGAACGATATGCCTAAAATTAGTCTTTGAGAAAAGCTACTGTCTTGCTAGCTAAATGTATTGGCCAAAAATGGACTTCAGCTGCACACATTAACTGAAAAGCAGTGTATTCCATTTCTAAGTTCTGAAAGAGTGAGGATATTAAGTAAAATAATTACAGAAAAGAGAAAAAACATCCGATGATTAGTTCCAGTCCTTCAGAAATTCAGGACTCATCTACAAGAGGCATCCACATATTAAATACGTTCAGACTGAACATAGTCTTAACTAAAATAATACAGATTACCAAAAGCTATCTTCCTTCCTCCCATTGGTGTTAACATTTGAGGAAATCCTCCTATGATTCTTCCTCCTTCCCTCCTCCCTCCCTCCATCTCTCCAGGAGCAGCAAATTTATTCAGGGTAATAATAAAGTAGCAAATCTGGACTCCTGTGGACACTCACATAATTCTGCATCAAGTCTGGATGGTTTCTTTCGATGCCGTCATCCAGGATGGTGACCACAACATTCCTTCCAGTGTAACCTCTCTTCCAAGCACCTACTATATTCATATCTGATTGGCAATGGTGGGTGTTATCACTGCAGTGCTGGGGACAGAAGAGGAGATAAAGATGTTGGATGTTGCAGATTAGTGAGCAGTGTGGGGTTGAGAAATTATCCTACTTACATTAACATTACCATTTAAATAGGCACATGAGCATATTGATTTGAATAGCAACTATACGAGATCAACACCTTCATTTAGACAAAAAATAATTTAAAAAGAAATGCCAAATTGAATGAAAATTGCTAGACCTGCTTATTTCTCTTTCAGATTACTCTTCATGCTAAGCAATAGAAAAGGGAAGCATCCAGCCATACTGAACCACTAGAAGCCATGTGTAAAACGAAGCAACTATTCCTGGCTGTTAAGCACGCTCATTTGAAATGTACATTTGAATTATTTGAATTTTTTCAGAAAAACAAACCATATGTGGATAAAAGTAGACAGATGCCTGTACAGAAATGGTCATGGAAACAAAACTTGCTTTTTGGAGCTTATGTGCTGTATAATTTATTGACAGAATGTCTGGAAACTAATCCAGATTCATTTCTATCTACAAAAGAAGGCTTTTGGCAGGTTTTGTGCAATATCAGCAGGAGATGAGCAGCAGTAAAGAACCTGTAACCAAAACAACACCATGAAAAACTTGCAGCTTAAGGTGCCTGATGAATTGTAGATAGATTGAGAGCAACCTAGGGTACAGCTTTCAGGGCAACCAAGTCCAGTGTGGTGGAGAAAGAAAGTTTAGGGTACATTAAAACTAAAAGCCTCTTCCTTGATATGAATGCACCCTGCCCATGTGAAGAAATCTGGCTTGCCATGGTAATGAGACATGACCCTCAGGTATTCATATGCCCCATTAGCAACTCTCTAACCCACACGCAGAGCCCTCCCCTGTGAAGTGAGGTCAATGAGCGTCTCATCGGCACTGCCTTCCTCCAGCTCCTTCAGGCTCAGACAGAGTAACAGGCAAAAAAATAAAAAAAGACAGGGTGCAGGGAAGGGGAGAAGGGTAGGGGGAAGGAAAAAAATTAAAAAAGAAACTTCTATCATAGCAACAGTGGCCCTACGAGCACGCTCCATCTCACTCCTCATGTCCCCACTTCAGCCTCATGTTTTGACACTCTACAATTGGTAAAGAGTATAAATACATTCAGAGGGACGTGCTCTGCCTTGACTGAGTCCATCCCTCTCCTCCCGAATGTAAGCACATTGGAGAACTATTAGCCATACTGGGTGCAAACTCATATCAGATTACTATTAAATTATAATTTTCCTCCTCCTTTTTCTCCGCTTTACCGTGCTGTACTGTCATACACAAACCAGAGGTTTTAAGAGTGGTCATTTGCTGGTACTAAAGCAAGATTATATTATTAGGCACCATATATATGTACATAGTATGAAGTCTCTCTCATGGTCTTTCCCTTGTGTCTGCAAGTATCTGTCTCTCTCTCTCTGGCTTCAGGGACCAGTTCCAAGGAATGTATATAGGGCAGGCTTAATGCTTTTGTTCTGTGTATTGCATGAAAATGCTCATGCTGCTGGCTTTATGAAATTAATTACAGTCTAAACTTGCCATCTGTACACTGAATGTAATGGTTGTACACATGAGGCTTTCCAATGTACAAATAAGGGGGTTAAAATTGTGTAATGTTTCCAGGTGCATTTGCATTTTTCAAAAGTATTACTGAATTAAGCATCATAAAATACCTGCAAAAGCTATGAATATCATCATTCACATTTTGCTGATACGAAGACAAGGAGACAAAAAGGTGGAAGCACCGAAATCCAGCCACAGAGTAAAACCAAGAGAGCTACAATGGGCAATCAGGATTCCTGGCTCTGAACTTCAGTCAAATTTACTGGGCCATTACACTGCCCTTTCATCCCATACTCTGAAATACCAGATGACTGTTTGGCTGCTTTGCTGACTGTCTTGTCCTCTCTTCCCAGGGGATGAGCTTGTCGTTTTGCTTCCATGCCAGTCAAACCACTCAGGCTGAGCAAGCATATGGGTTTTTAATCCCCATTCCCTTGCAAGCTCTTTGGCTCTCTGTCAGAAGATCACTGCTTTTTCCCTTAATGATGTTGGCACAGACAGTTGCCCTCATTTACCTTCCCTGAACTTCTGCTTTTGTGGTGCTGTCTGAAGGGTGCTAATTCATCAGCTGCTTTGCTACATGCATGTAGACAAACACAAGACAAGAGACATCTCTTGCTTTACCATGTGCTCTGATGATTCTCTCAAGAGACGTGCCAGATCAAACTGATATTCAAATTATCTTGTTCTGCTCCAAGACTGGGCAGAAAGCTAGTCTAAACAATCTTTCTGCATAAAAGAAATGCCAGGGGTAAAGCAGGCGTAACTGCATGCCCACTTATAACTTTGGATCACAGTATACGTAACATATGGATACAAAATGCAAAGGCAGCAGCGAAGCATCCAAGTGGGAGTAGTTCAACAGCAGATGAAGGGTTCAGTACTTATGGTTAGAATATATAACTTACTCTCAAGTCCTATTAAAAATAGCATCTTTGTTTTCTTTTCACCTCTATTCCTTACTCTTCTTCCCCCTCTCAATTCTTTTTCTATCAACGCTCTTCTCTCCGTGCTCCTAGCCTTGTTCTTCTCTTCCAGTACTGTCTTCTACCACTTAAATTCCAGTTTTGTTTGGTTCAATATCTGATCTCAGATTCCCATATTTTAACCACAAACTATACCTTCCCCCAGATTAGTGTGTGATTTTCTCCAGATTAATCAGATTGTGCACTTTTCTCTCAAAGCAGTCAGATTTGGCCTTTATCAGGAACACTTTAAAACTTGTGGTGCAATTACTCTTCAAATACTATGCAATATGGTATAGATACACTGTTCCACATTGAACAGCATCTAAGATGACATCTATTACTTGGTTTCATTTGCATTCTTTCCTGTCCCTTTAAATTCCTCTTTCCTTCAAAAATATTTCTTGTAAGGAATTTTCCGCTACTGGGTTCCAGTCTATAATTGTTCTTTAACCATGTGCTGCTTCTTTACCACCTATCCAAATTATATTGTCAGCTTCTTAGCAGAGGGCTGTTTTTTAATGAATTTGGAAGCACTGTCTCAATTCACAGTGTTACACAAATAAAAAATAATAAAATGTCTGTCATGAGAATAGAAATTATGTGATCCATAGTGATTGAATTTTATATCAATGGGCAAGTACTGAATTTCATAGCTCATTTTTAATCTATTTTGCCTGTTCTCTCTTTTTAGAATAAAAACTTTGTCATTATAATGTACAAAAGCTGTGTACTTGCAAGTTTTTATTAGATCTGTTAATCTTTGAACTGTAGATTTTGAGTTTTAAAGGGAATAGTATAAAATAGGTTAGTCTACAGAATTTCCCCCCTCTCCAAGCAGATAAAGTAATTCAGAAATTTCCTGCATTGGTACCATGACTAGACAACTGCAGTAAGCCAGCATTATTTCAACATATACTGTTTTCATCTATTGCCTGGAGGATACCATCAAAAGGAATAAACAACCTCTTGCCCAGTTACATAGATTTTAAAAGGCATTAAAAGGATGATATTTTTCTTTGGACTGTTTAATTGGAAAATGTTAATGATATCACTGTCAGTATTTAATAGAAACCATCTGCAAGGTTGAGAGGCTCTTGAATTCCATGTAGGAAGGAAAAGGGCTATACTAAGAAAAATTTCAGATATTGAACTTTTCTCATACTTGAAATTTAATGCTTATGAGCATAAAAAGACAAAAGAATCACTAGATTCTTTGGAATTAGACGTCTTTGGACAGACAATTTGGAAGCCTGCCTTTGTGCAATTAACAAGCCGACATAACATTAGAAAGGTTTTCTGTTTTGATGTTTGCATGATGCTTTCAGTATCAGACATGGGCCTGGATTCTCAGCTATTTTGTGAAATTCTCTCTAAAACCTTACTTATGGGCATTATCATTAAATTAATGCTTCTTGTCTGCTGCACTGATTTTTGTGGTCGGAGGCTTGGTGTATCCAGTTAGGGATCAATAACAAAACTGAACGGTTAAACTGAGAAATCAAGACTCATATCAATGGTCAAAATCTTTTGGAATTCCAGAGCTTAAAATCAAATTAAAAGAACAATGACTACAAAATTCTGTTCTGTCTTTTGCAATGCCTGTTAGTCTATAAAAACAGAGTAGAAACAAAGTTTCTAATCCTGTGACATGCAGTCTCTCAGAAATGGCATATTGTGCCCTCTGTAAGTCTTCATGAGGTACCTTGCATTGGCTTCCTGTAGTTTTTGACAAGATCTTGTCAATATCTAAGCGGATATAGAGAAACACAAGATGATAATCAGAATGACACAATTTTAAAGACCAGTTGTGAGTTGGCAGGTCTTGGATCTCATTTAGTGGAACATTGCACATGCTTCTGATCCCAGGAAAGCTCTGAAATACTAGTTCCCAGTCAGAGATTAGAAAAGATAACTCTTTTAAAAAGATAAAGATATTTAAAAGATAGAAAACTCGTTTTTAATATAGAGGAAGAGGAAGAGGAAGAGGAAGAGGGAGAGAACGGGAGACCTGGTTACCTAGGACACAGAGAAGGCAGACGTACTCAATGACTTTTTTGCCTCGGTCTTCACTGGCAAGTCCTCGAGCCTGACTGCCCAAGCTGCAGAAGGCAAAGGCAGGGACTGGGAGAATCAAGAGCTGCCCACTGTGGGAGAACATCAGGTTCGAGACCATCTAAGGCACATGAAGGTGCACAAGTCCATGGGACATGATGAGATCCATCCGCAGGTCCTGAAGGAACTGCCAGATGAAGTTGCTAAGCCACTATCCATTATATTTGAGAAGTCGTGGCAGCCCGGTGAAGTTCCCAGTGACTGGAAAAGGGGAAACATAACCCCCATTTTTAAAAAGGGAAAAAAGGAAGAGCCGGGGAACTACAGGCCAGTCAGTCTCACCTCTGTGCCTGGGAAGATCATGGAACAGATCCTCCTGGAAGCTATGCTAAGGCATATGGAGGACAGGGAGGTGATTTGAGA